GCATTGGCTCAATTCAGCCTTTCCTTTGTCCCAGACCCTGCATTGCATGTGTCCCAGTATAGTCCCAATGAGGTTCAACTGCTGCTGAGGCCTCTTGGCCTAGATTTGGACTTGAAAGTCTGGATCTGGACTGACCCCTTGACTCAGACCAGAACTGGGACTGTACCTATTGACAGGCACAACTCTAGATGAACAGACACATTTACTGCCTGAACAACTTTCTTTTGCATGAACAGGTACACTGTCTGCACATACAGACACACGCTTACTCGAGCAGACATGACATGCACATCTTCTGGTGAACAGGTAAGTCCTTTGACAATGCCCTTTGCTTTGGATTTAGATGTGCCTGTTGATAGAGAACGTGACCTTTGCCCTGCTTTCACGTTTCTGAGCCCTGGCGAGATACCCTTTCAGACTGCTTTTCTTTTACAAGCCCCTGTTGCTTACTTTTACAAGGCCTGAGGCCTACATCGGGTAAAGGCCCTTTTATATATTTCTGTTTCTGTCTGTGTCTCTGTGTGTTAGCTGGTTGTCACGCTCGTTCCCGTCCATCCATAATTGGTGCTTCTGTGCTTTAATGTTGGCATACACAGGTAATAGAACAACCTCCGTTCCTCCGCGAATCTCTGAGAGGCCAGCAACCAGTCGTAGCTAATCTGCATTTTGAAAGATTATTTAGACATATCCAGACATTTACCGTTTGGTAGCTACGGGGTGGATATACCCACACATTGTTCATCTGCATGCGACACTACCGGTCAAGCTCTCACCAATGCACCTTTGCCCCTGCACCACCTGTAGATGCAGAATGGCCGGTCGGGAATCCCTGCGAAAAGGGACTACGGGGTAGGTGGGTCTTGACTGATTCTCCCTTTCGTCATAGTGATATGGCTCATTGAGTTGTTAAGTGATCATCATAGAGAAGTACTGTGATTTCGCTAAGTTCTGTGATTTGCTGAGGAAGTGTTTCCCCCAAGTTCCTCATTTGCAAACAGGAATGTTGTCGTTTGGCTGTTGTTGTAGTCCCTACTTTGTTGTATTTTGTGTTTGGAACATTGGAGGACTTCGACTGATGCCTCTCGTCTTTCTTTTCCTGGGGCCATGACTGACTCGTTGACGTGGTGGTGTTACCTCATCAGGATGTTGCGCGCATGCTCATCAAGTTTACACTGCAGAGGGCGGCAAAGAAGCATGACATGACGTACGGAGATCTTCTGAAGCTGAGCCGCGGGCAGCGGCGAGAGTTCCACGACGATATCACAGTGATCATCTTCTTCTTCACAAAGGATGTCAATGACACACTGTGGGGTGAGTCTACGTACCACTCGGTACGGGGTAACGGAAACGACTCTATCCGGGGGGACACGGTCTTCGAGCCAGATCGACAGATACAGGATGAGGAAGAGATGGACCTGTTTGGAGTTGACGATGGGTAAAGTAAGAAAAAAAGAGGGAGAGGAATAGTATTTTCGGGGGTGGTCTGGTCTGAGAGGAAGCTGTTACGGGACACAGGAGAAAGAGGGCGATGTGGGGTAGGAAAAGGGGAGAGTTGAAGGTCAGTGATGCAAGGGGGGAGAGGATGGGAGGCATGGAGGGAAGAGGGGGAAGGAGGGTAAGATTTGTATGAAAGTGGCAATGCGTAATTTCTGCCGACCCTGGGACGGAGGTCGAAGAAAGCTTAAACCATCAGTATATTTCTGAGTTATTTGTTCCGGTGCAGGCACATATGCGCCGTATCTGTCGGGCCTCGTGATACTGAAACCGAATGGCTGGCGGCGCCAGCCATATCTTTTACATTTTGCACCCGTGTCCGTTCGACAAAACTCGGCACGGGGCGGAATTCGGCATCAGGAAAAAGAGGCTCAGAAGTACCGGTGGTTTACGAGAAGGTTCTCACTACAGGGGGCTGAAGGCTGACTTCAATGACCCACAGCTGACAAAAGGATTTATGGAGACTCAGGCTTGGAAACCAGTGTCCTTTGGGACATGCGTGAAAATTGGAAGGACAGGGAGAGGAGATCAGCCATGGCCCCTGCGCGAGGATGACACACAATAAAAGAAAAACGGATTTGGAAAGTCGATCCAATGGTGAAAACGGAGGAGCAGGGTGGCAGGAACGGAGTGGTAGAACCACAACTGAAGACGAAAGGATGCATGCTAAGATGCGCAAAGTGGATGTGCATGTCTGTGTGGTTGTGATCGCAGCTAATCGCGACAAAAGGAAAGCAGGGCGCCAGGACCGGAGAGGTGGGAGGTCTTGGGAGATAGTGCTCTGTGCCCGTGGCTTCTGGCCCGCAGTGGAGGGTCTGAGGAGGGGTATCATAGTGAAGAATGTCGCTAGAAATTTGATGAGGGAAGGAGGGTGCGGAGAGGGTTATCTTCGTTGTCTACCTCAGGCGTCTGCTGTGCCACGAGTTGCATGGTGCATGTATGTACGTACGTGCCTCCCTCCCTTTTGCCAGGCATACGTACATAGTACCCTACCGGTAGTACATCAATCAAGTGTGATGGTATTTTGCCCTCATGCTTTGGTGATGAAGGTTTGTCGCAAAAGGCATGCTTAACATGCTTTCATGATCGTCAATCAACGTACAAGCAAGCTTTCTCGCGGGCCCTTCTTTTCTTCTGCGAAAGGCAAAGGACAAGGACTTCCCAGAGCACGAACGCGTATTTCCCCCTTCGAGGGACTACTTGTTATGAAATGCATGGGGTTAGTGGCGAAACATACTGCAGTCAGGAGAGCCACCCACTTCCCATTTCCATCGTGCAGGGCACCAAGGCAGAATGATCGACACCCCACTTGTTCCTGTTGCCGGCATTTGCGTTGGCGATAAGTGGCAGTTGCTGCTGCTTTTTTCATCTGATTGTATATCGATTCGAACTTGGGTCTGTATTTCAACAGTTCATTGGGTGTACCAACTGAGCTAGGCTCGTTGGTGGCAGTTGCTGCTGCTGTTAGGACTTCGGCATCAGATCTGAGAGAGGAGGGTCTGATTACAGGTATGAGGCCCAGGTGATTATGGTACCCCTACTACCCCATCATATTTGTAAGCAGAGGGTCTGTATTTCAACAGTTCATCTGATTTTTAAGCACCAATGGTAGGTGTCTATCGACAGAAACAGAAGCACAGGTAATTATGGTACCCCTACTACCCCATCATATGTGTATCGTGAGTCGGTCGTCTGTGGCCAGTTCTGTCAAGTGTTGAAGATCAATCTCAACTATCTATTGATGCCAGAGCAATGTTGATGAAGGCATGTTGGTGGGCTGTAGTCCGTGGACACAGACACAGTCAAATGGCTTGGATGAAAGTCTATTCGTATTGACAAAAAATGAAAGTCGAAGCGATTACGTGGTGTGGCTCTTCACACGTGTATTGTCAGTCGTTTGTGGTGATTCGTCTATTCTTCGTATCGACAGAAATCGACGGTCGATGTTAGACAGTTGTCTTTCGACAGAGCAGAGATGACTGAGGCATGTCGATGGCCAGTTGTGTGTGAGCACGGACAACGCCAAGCGAGCGCACGGATCGACGTCTACTCTGACAGAACGACGTTCACTGCTTTTTCCATGATGCACACGCAGCAATCCTGCACGGAATCGAACTGTTGATCTCATCCATAACCGCTCGACAGAGGTCATGACCACTTCAACTGTTACATGGTGTTCTTGCCTTAAGAAACCACCCTTAGACGTGGGCAGCGTCAGACAGCCAGGATCAAACGCGCCCATTTTGGGCGTGCCACTCCCGTATATATACTGTATCGGACCTATCGGTGGCAAAGATAGGTATAACATATATCGATCGCACTAGCGAACGGAAGACGGCTCAAAGAATTCAGCGATTTCTGTCATCTATTTGGCATGTCACGCCACATGTCGCAACTTCAAATCAAACACAGCAGTGATGTTTTGGCAGGCATCCACGTCTATCAAGGTATCAACAGATCAATGCCGCGACCGACATGGACGATTTAGGCACATGCCCTTGGCCAGTTGTATGTGTTTATTATCTAGGTAGCATGGGTTATCTGGCCGGATTATCTGGCCGGATGATCGGGGGGGTAAGATTAACAGGGGGGGGGAAATGGCCAAAAAAAAAAAAAAAAAAAAAAAAAAAAAAAAAAAAAAGTGATATTGCGCATGCAAAATACAACAGAACTACGTTCCTATTTCATGAAAAGCTTGATAGGTCATGGAAGGGTTCAAAGGGGGTAAGATAGGGAATAAGGGGGTTTAGAGGGGGGATGCTTAAACCACCAGTACCTCCACTTTTCTAGGCCGTTAACGCGGTGGTGGCCGAATCGGTGCGACGCGCAGGTCCTTATGCATTTGCCTCAGAGCCTCCCCAGAGGGGGCCTAAGACCCCCTGGGGTACTGGTGGTTTAATTCATTTTATTAATTTTTGTCTAAATATTGTTTTCTTTTTCATATTTTATTTTTTATCTTCATATCTGTTGAGATATCAAAGATGGCCTCAAGCCAAAAGTTGTTCGTATCGTTAATATGAACAACATGCTTTTTTAAAGCTTTTTTCCAGATTTTTTTTTTTGGTTTTGGTTAAAAAACCATATTTTGTGCAGGGCCGGATTTTCCATATCCGGATAAAAATGGGTCTGCCGTATATCCGGATTTGCTACCTAGTTTATTATGCCGTATATCCGGTAGCAAAGCCGACGGACTCGTCGTGAAAACCGAGTGTGGGTGAGTCAGGCGTCCTGGATGGAGCCCAGTCATCAGGCAGTCTGCCTCAGTCAAGTTTCCCCCAAGGAAATGCAGGCTGGGATGAGTGCAGCGCACACAGTGAGAGCCCAAGATGTAAACGTACGCGATCTCGCGTACCAAGGATCATTTTCTTACTAGAAATTGGGTGATCGAAGGAAGCTTGCGATCATTCCCGCCCGATCGCGTACGCTCACAGCATCATGAGATACTCGTCACCCCCGACAGAGAGTCCAGTCCAAGGCAGCCAGTCATGTGTAAGAGGTCAGTGTTGAATGATGAAGTTCCTTTGGAACGACAAGTATCTCATGCTGTGAGCGTACGCGATTTGGGGGGAGCGATCTCAAGCTGTGACTCTACGCTATCGGAGGAACGGGATCTCGCGCTGTGTGATCCTACGAGATCTTGTGTACCATACTGATGGCTGCTCAACATGTCGCGTCCTTTCCTCTTCCCTCTCCCCTCTCAGTCTAAACTGTTGGTCAGACATGTTTGGTGTTTTGATGGGAACACAGTGGGAACCACAGGGGCTCATTTCCGCTTGTCGTCACACACACACACACACACACACACACACACACACACACACACACACACACA